ACAGCGGTGCCCCCCACTTCCTTTCCACTCCGTGCGTGTCCACAAACGACCTCGGAGCTGCTATACGCCTCGATTTCGGAGTTCCTGGACGTCTGAGCAAGTACACAAGTTCCTAATACAGAATCCGTGAGTCCTGATCAGCCTTATTTTAAAAGGAGCTGAAACTGTCATTCCTGAGATTTGCATTTTTAGTGGGCTAGAAGGGGAACAAGGTTAAGGAAATGGAATATAATATCCAGAAGGTCCTAGAACACGGGCATCCCAATCTTTCAAGAGATCTCGAAGACCCTCCACCCCACCTTCTCCCCAGTGCCCTGAATGAGCCATCCCAGGTCTCCGCATAAACACTGCAGAGAGGAGACCTCCCCAAACACTCACAGAGAACAGCTCCCACTGCCAGGAGGCCCCACTGCCCACTGAGACGGAGTCTGCCCTCCTGTAAGGCCTGCCCCCAGTCTCTTCCGTCATTCCCTCCCCGAAAATTTAACTGCATTTCCACACAACAGGCACCCTGCCCGGGCGTGGCATTCCAGCGCTACTTAAACTACAGATAAACTGCCCAGACCCCACCACCTGAGACACCGCTTTCATCTGAGCTGCCGGCACAAAGTTTTCCTTCTACTCCAACTCTTCCCATCACAGCCGTCTGCAGTGACAGCACGGAGCAGTGTTCCAGATACTTGCTCAGAGCCAGACGCGTCTGAGTGCCCTCGCTGTGCACGTGCAGTCCTCAGCGGAGTGGGCAGGTGCTCTGTAATGTCCCTTTCCACGCGTCCCACAATTAGGCAAATTGCCTGAGGTCCCAGAGCAGGGAGCCTGCCGACCCGCTGGCGTCCCACTACCTCGCACACTGCTGAGTCCTTTGGGACAGTGCCAGCCACAGCAGGAGCCCAGGCCACGGGGCCCCCCCTGAGAATCCAGTAACAGGGAGGTGTGAGCCCAGCAGCACCACATCTTCCTCTGAGGAATCCCCTTCTGGTGGGTTAAGACCAATTACTTACCCTTACAGCTGAGTTTGGGCAAAACACAAGAAGAGGAAAGGGTTAGATTTACGGTTGCTTTTGTTTCTTCTAAAATGTATAAACCCCTCGGGGCCAGCAGATGGCGTAGCAGTTACGCTGCAGGATTCCCACATGGCCGACTGTGGTTCAAGTCCCAGATTCAGTGACTTGAAAATCACACTGGGTGCTTATGTGCACATGCCCAAGATCCCAGGAGAATGGAGGAGGAAAGATTGCAGCATGGCCATCCCGGAGGGGGTGATTTCTCACTTTCCCTCTCACTCATTTTATGTCTTTGCAGCATACAAGAGTTTTTCAAAGCATGCACATAGCGCCTGCCAGTCGAGTCCCAGATATTTCACATGCCTCGTCCTCAGTAGATAGCTCTCCTCTCCGTGTCTGTTCAGGGTTCCTCCTGAGCCCCTCCCTCCTGGCCCCACTGTCCTCCCCCTCTGACATGGTCTCTGGTGTCTACACTTGCCATCCCTGCTGCCATCTCCTCCGATCTTCCCGTGTCTGCCCGAAGATGCCGACGTCCAGTGTATACTGAGCAGGGCCACGCAGTGTCTGCCTATCGTCATCTGGCTTGCTTCACCTAGCATTACATCTTCTCTAGACATCCATTTGGTATCAACAGCGGGTCTCGTTCCGTACGGCTGCATAGTATCCCATGGTGCCTATGTGCTTAACCCTGGTCAGGATGGCCGTGATTAAGACGCTGATTGGGCTCCTCAGACAGAGCAGTGCATACATGCTGCTGAGGTTACTCCCGACTCTCGAAGGCACTGTTGACGTTTAGAGCTGGGGAGCAGGATGTCACCTCTGCCTGGCACCTGTGTCCTGCGTGCCATCTCCCAGAGTCTCTCTCTGCCTTGCGCACTTGACCCAAGAACTCGGTCATTGGGAACCACGGCCTGCCTTGACAAGATTAACAATTTCAGGGCCAGCAGATGGCATGGTGGTTAAGGTGTTATACTCCCACACGGCCAAGCACAGCTCAAGTCTCAGACCTGGTAGCTGAAAAATCACACCGGTGCTTGTGCATGTGTGCCCCAAATCACAAGATGAGAATGGAGGAGAAGGGATTGTGGTGTGACCACCCCTCCTGGCAGGGGAGATTTTTCACTCTCTCTCTCTCAGTCACTCTCTGCCTCTCTCCAGTGAGCACGCATGCCCTATGGCAAAAAAAAAAAAAAAAAGATGAACGATTTCATTACATTTAAGCACCAGCAAGATGAACGATTTCACTAAATTTAAGCACCGGCTAAAGTCAGAGAGTGTGCTAGGCATGAGGCACCCACAAAATTCAGAGAAGTCCCCTGTGGCCCTGGAGCTCACAGTCGTGTGGGGAACTTGGACCCTCAAACAAATTACCCTGAAAGTGGTGAGTGCTCTAACGAGCATGTCCACAGAGCTGGGGATGAAGGGAGAACAGGGATGCAGTGGTCCAGACAGGCGAGGGCGTGTCCCCAGGGAGGTGGCTTTGTAGCCGCAGCAGAGGGTGAGGGCGGAGCTCGGCAGGTGGAAGGTGGTGGGGCCTTCCAGGCAGAGAGAAAACTGAGCAAAGGCCTGAGGCCAGGCCTTCCCTGGTGTCATGATGTGGCTAAGGCTGCAGAAGGCACCAGGCGGCCCAGGACCAGACCGGGTAAGACCTCGACGGTCAGATAAGAAACCCGGCGTGAGCCCTAGAGCAGCAAGGTGCGAGGACGAGCAAGCCCCGCCAACATTCCAGGATGGTAACTCTGCAAACCGGAGAAGAAAGCCACGGGATGAAGGCAGCTCGAGTGAGGGCCATGGCCTTGGCCGAGGCCGTGAGAGGAGGCTGAGCAACAGGACTGAGAGGCGTGAGGCCAGTGGATGTGGCAGTGACGGAGAGGGGAGGATGGTTTCTGGCCCGTGGAACTGGGTGGAATCGATTCATTCAATCTACAAATACTCAGTAAGCGCCAGCCCCTTCAAAGCAGGCTCAGTGGGGAAGGCAACGGTGCCTAGCTCGAGCGCTCCATGCACTGACCAGAGTGGAGGGCACGCCTGCCCTGGCTTCACTGTCCCCGAGCCAGAAGTCCCAGGGCTGGGCTGAGCTTCCTGGTGGACAAACAGAGCCCATGGGATGGGGCCAGGAACACCAGGCTCCAGGAGAAGGGCTGAACACACAGGGAACAGACACAAAGTCCTGCCACTCCCTGACAGTGAGTGCTCATGTACATACCCACACACACACAGACACATCTAACATACACGCCCACATGCACAAACATACACGCACCAGTATCGGAGCATCTTCCTCTAGGGTGGGCTGCCCAGCCCAATGGGTCACCCAGTGTGTCCCTACCTGGGCGTCTCTGGAACTCTGGGGTAGGACAGCCCTGCCTGCTCCCACGAAACCCCCTGCTCAGACCACTGGGAGCAGCAACATCAGAGTTTCAGGGCTCGTGGTAACTAGCCTCTCCTGATCGCCAAGCACCTGATCCTCCTCTGAGCCTCAGCTCCATTGTCTATGGTGCTGAAATCTCTAAATAAGGAAGCTGAGGGCCAGAGCCGAAGGCCTGGTGCTGTGGAAGGCAGCTCCCCTGCGGAGGGGTGGGGTGGGATGGGGCCACAGTCAGTCCAAGATGCCCAGCACAGGGCGTCCCCATATTCTTATCCCACAACCCCTTCCAGGTCAACCTCCCCCTGCCTCTGCTTCCTGCCCCTAATTTCCTCCTTCAAAGCAGAGCTAGGCTGGGCAAACCACCTCACCCAGGGTCTGCCAACAGAGCCAACCTGAGTCCCGAGGTGACAGAAGGTGCAGAGGAGCACAGTCGTGTTTAGACAGAAGAGGCAGAGACCCAGCAGCATCTCAGTGCAGCCAGAGGAGCTGGAGCAGCTTCCAGGGGCATGCCAAGCCCAGTGCCCTGCTGCCCAGTGCCCCTGCTTTGCACCCACTGCCCAGAGCTAATCTGAGCTGTGACCCGAGGCCACAGGACACCGACCTCCAGCCACCTCCGGTTACTCAGCAGGCAGTCACGCAGCGCAGGCTCCCAGCTCCTGAGCAGGGCGTCCCACCCACGGCTATCCTCCGAGCTGCTGCTCTCATCACCCGTGCGGCTGGCCAGCAGGGAATCCGGGGACCAGGAGAAGCCAGGGTCCATGTCCAGGAGAGCCGGCACTCCCAGCTCCGGCCCACGGCTGCTCCCTGCTGCCTGGGCCGAGTCTGCTGAGCTCGGAGAGAGGTATTGGGGGTCCTGGTGGGGCCCATGTGAGCTGAGGGCCTTGGCTCCCACCTCCTGTGCGCTCTGACCGGGGCACTCAGCCTCTCTGGGCAGGCAGCCCTCTGCCTCGCCACGCTCCCCAGCAGAGCCGAGTGAGAGCTGAATAAAGCTGAAGCTGGAGGCAAATACATCCTGGGAGTCGCGCAGGGCAGAGGAGGTGGAGGGAGCACTTCCGGGGCCACAGCCCAGGCCGTTGATCTCTGCTGATGGCCCAGGGCCTGTTGCCTGGGTGCCCCTTGCTGCTTCCCCACGGGCTGCCTCCCAGGTGGCGCCTGGGACCTCCACACTGTCCATGGATGTGAGCTCCGGTAGATCCCCAGAGTTCCCAAGGCCACACAGCCTGGTCCGTGTGCCAGGTCGTCTGGGACCTGCTCTGCACTGCAGCCCAAAACACGCTGCGGTTCCTAGAACGGAGGTCAGAGCAAGGCCCGAGCGGCCTGCAGAGGTCACAGCACGGGCCACCGGCTTCTCAGGAACAGGTATTCCCGCGGAGGGGCCTCGTCCCTGGCCTCCGGGGACAGGGCTGTACCATCCAGCCCTGCACTCTGGCCCGTGGGACTCCTGGCTGCACACCCCTCCTGTGCCCACGTTTGGAGAGAGAAACTCGATCCCGGGCCCAGCCATGGTTCTCAGGTAGCCCGGCCTCCGTGCCAGCTGCCGCCTCCGAGAAGACGCTGTAGGTGCTGAGCGGGCCAGGCTGCCTGCAGAGAGAGAGAAAGCCCAGTGAGTGCACTTCTTCCAGGCTGGCTGCGCCCAACATGGCCCCGGGCATGGAGGCCAGCTCTCGCCATCTCTTGGCACACCTGTCAGAGGTGGATGATGTCAGCGTACTGTCCAAGGTAGGCTACGCGAAAACTCTAACAATCCCAGGAAGTACTGGCCTAGAACGTGCGGAAATCAGCCCAGCGCCATGGCTCCTATGTTGAACGGGGCAGTGGGCACTGTGTGAGGTGTGCCGGCACGTCGGCACGGACGTCGGAGGCATAACCCCCACACCTCGCCTGTCCGCCTGTCTGTTACACACATTCCACTTTCACTCTGGGGTGCGCCAACCCGCATGTCAGAGTGTTCCTCAAAACGAGACGGAGACCTCCAGACGGTGTGATGGTTAAGACAGCTGAATCCCACGCAGCCAACTGCACAGCTGGAGTTCTGGACCCAGCAGCTTGAAAGACACTCTGGGCACCATGTGCGTGCATGCCTGAAATCCGACAGGAGATTGGAGAAGGGACTGCAGCATGGCCATCCCTCTGGGGGTGCTTTTCACTTTCCCTCTCCCCCACTCTTCCCTTCGTTTCTCTCCAGCTAGTGCACACACCACACACCATTTTTCCAATGAGATTGGATCATTAACTCCAGCTGTTCATTGAACAACATGTGGATTGTCACTGCCTGAGCCATCCCTGCCCTGCACGCTTCCCAGCACTGCCGCCGTGGCTGTCTGGCTGTGGAGAAACGTCAGCCCGCCAGTGCATCTCACAGTGGAGTACAGGAGGGCTTGGTGCACTCCCTCCCAGCTATGCCACAGCAGGAGCAGTACAAGTGCTGATGCCTCCCTGACCGGTTCAAACCCTGACAGCACCACTTCCACACTGTGGGATCCTCCACGAGTTACTTAACTTCTCTGTGCCTCAGTTTTCCTATCCGTAAAAGGAGGAGGCATAAAGCACCTCTCTCATGGCACTGTGAGCGTTAAGTAGATGAGTTACTGGCGTAGACAGCTAGGGTGGTCCTTGCACACACATAAACGTGCTGACAGTTGCAGGCCCAGTCATGGGGTGCGGGAGGTAGGGCTTCACTACACACACTGCAGCCCTGGGGCAGGCCGGCGTCTGCATCCAGGTCGACCCGAACGCTCGGCGTGTGCCCGTGATCCCAACTGGCTGGAGGGTCGGGAGGATCCGGTCGTGGCAGGACCTGTCAGGGGTCTCTGCCTCGCTCTCTCTAGATAAACATTATTTTACATCGCACAGCCCTCTGCTGCCCACGACGTGTTTTCAACGACATCCGTTTCATTGGTGGCAGGTGCTCCCTAAGCTCACGCATCAACCAGACGAGGAATGCTAGCTTTTCTCACATGTTGGGTGCTTGGGAAAGTCAGGACACATTTTTGCATCAAAAAACAGTAAAATGTGTCATGTCTTTCCCAATGGCCTAATAGTTGAGGCAGCTGAGATTCAGAGGTGACATGCCAGCAGAACTGCAAGCAGCTGAGTGACCAGGCCAAAGTCCCCGGCTCTGCTGGCCCTCATGGTGCTCTCACCAAGGCCCCGCACAGCCAGTGAGGCAGAGGCTGACGGGGGAGCCTGAAGCACTGGATACGCGGTCACAGCGTGGCCTCCAGCGGGGATGGAGCAAAGCTGCTGCTGCCCGGGCTAACTCGCCCCCTCGCACTTACAACTCCCGGGTCTCTGCAGAAGCCCCTGGGCATCACATTTCCACTGAGCCAGGATCACAGCACACGCCAGCCCCTGGAGGAGTGGGGGTGACAACCCTTGGGGAAGTGAGTATGAGGCCAGCAGCCGCCTGTTGCCTGACTCTGTGCATCTACGGACAACAGAGCCCAGGCCACGGTCACCCATGACCTCTCTGGCCAACCGTGGACTGCCCTGAGGCTGGAGCTGCCCAAGCTACAGGGACTGTGGGCCCTCGCAGGGCAGAGCAGCAAGGCCACGAAGGGGCAGGGACGTCGAGGCACAGGGAGGGGGGCACTGGCTCTACACCCGGGGGCTGTAGTTCTCACTTCATAAATAGCAAAATAAAGCTCGGGCTTGAATTCATCCCGAACTCCCCAGTCTCAGCTCCCCAGGGCCTGCGTGTGAACCGAGGTCCGCGTACTCTGTCCACTTTGCCTCCAAGCGTACCAATGGGCAAGAGCTAAAACTGGCGCAGAAACAGGAAACAATCTGTCCTTTAAGACAGAGGCCGGGAAATGTTGGAACCAGTAGAAAAAGACGTGGTGACGACTACAGCACCATCACTGACAAGCAGAACTGGGTCACTGTGCTCTCCGGGCCCACCAGACCCCTCTCCTTCCATGTCTCGTCATCCAGGGAGCAGGGCCCACCCAGCAGGGGATCAGTCAGTGGGGCTACAGGACAGAGGGGCAGAGGGAGGCCCGGGATGAAGGCTCACGCCTGGTCAAAGTGGCAAAGCGTTCTCCAAAGAACGAGGGCTCCAATAGCAAGTAATGGAGAACCCTGAATTCTGGCTTCAATTACCAAAGGAGAGCAATTCAACACTTCATATCTTGAGACGCAGTCCAGGGAAATCTATATTGTCTTTTGGTTTAAAAATAGTTTCAACTTTTTTTTTAATCCAAGTGCCAGTCATTCAAAATATCCTTCTCAAGTCAGAAGAACCATGCTAAGAGGAAAAGAACCGCTTTGGAATTTCATTTATTTTCAGACGCCTGAGGGGCCTGCAGCCTGAGTGGCCTTCTCTGAAACCTGGCCACCACGGTGCTGAGCACCCAAGCCCTCAGTTCCCAGGAAGCTTCCAGAAGCCCACACTGCAGGCAACAAGCCCAGGAGACCAGACGGAGAGACGTGTTTGTTAATCCTGGGGGTGGGATACGGGACACCCCGCACCCACACTCACATCCCTACCCCTGGAGGATGCAGACACCATCGCAAGTGACAACCGACCCTCAGAAGGCAGAGGAAGGTCAGAGACACCAAAGGAATGAAGCTGGGTCCGGAAGGCACTTCTGGAATGGACTGGAAGGGTCAGAGGAAATCCACATCGGGCAGGCTAGGGACTCCAGGAAGCCCCTCAGCTTCCCACACCAAAGGCCCCTGGTGGTGCCGTGCTTTTGTTTTTGTTTCTTAAGGGAGCATGATATCCTCTGTGGCCAGAAATCCGCTCTCACTACGCATCCTGCCCCAAACCCTTGTGGATTTGTTCACATCCAAGCTGGCCCTCTCGCCTGCAGCTAAGGAAGGGCCCCAGCACGCCCTCAGCCTGGAGAGGAGAAGTCTTCCTGCCCCTAAGTGCCATCAACTCCGGAAGGAGGTTTTGGAGAGCAGGAAAGAGCCTGCAAGTGCAGGCAGGAGTCAACAGCTGGCCAGGAAACCAGCTGTGACCTGTCCTCCCTGAGACCCAGAGGTGGCTTCGTCTGCCCGTCTGGCCCTGAAATGCTGAGCCTTGACAGGCTTCCTCCACCTCTCGAGGCTCCTGCTCCTGAGTTCTAAGGAGGGGAGTGCAGACCTGCTGGCCCCTGGTTCTATGTGACCCCTCATTCCTCCCAACGAGGCCCGGTGAGCTCTCAGCTTGAAGGCAAGTAAAAGGGATTTGGACAGACCTGATGTCAAAGGGCCTCTATACAGGGTCCAGATCAGGGCCCGGAAATGTCTGTTTTCTGAGCTTAGGGAGAAAACTGGGAGAGCTGCTATGTCCAAACCCTTCCGATCCCTGAGCTCCCAATCCCCTCCCACTAGCACCCCTAGCTCAGCTCACAGGGCCTCACGGGTTCTCCACATCCTCGTTTACTAACACCCACACCATTAGGTATTTTCTTCAGAGCATATGAATTGTTTCCAACTTATGCTATAAATAAGCTTCCTGGGATCCTTACAATTTTTTTAAAAAGTCCTCATATATAGATTTTATGTCATCTAATTCTGATTCTAGGGAGCTATTGTACAACGCTGTGAATTGTGGATAACTGATAGTAATATAATATAATTCTTGTCTACTGACATGTAAATCCTGTCCCAGGATGGTTCAACTGCTTCCCTCACCACATGAGGAGAGGCAGAGACTACACCTGGAGCTGGACCTAGCACTTCTGCATGGCGTGCAAAAGAAAGAAAGAAATGTATAACCCATCAGATGACCAGAAATCACTACAGAGCCATAAGAAATATGAGAAACCAAGAAAATACCTCTCCTCCAAGGGAAAGAATAACTCCTTCTTCATCCACAGATAGTACAATGGACTCGCAGAAATGTCTGATAAAGAATTTAAAATATTCATAGTGGCAAAGGTAATAGAGAAAGAGAAATGAGACAATGATCTCCAGAAGATGCAGGAGAAAAGAGCCTATGAGTTCTAGGAGGTGAGGAAGTTCTTGCATAATCTGAAAGAGGAAATATTCACCATAAAAAAGAATCAGATGGAACTGATAGAGATGAAGGCTGTAGTATAGGAAATCAAAACCTCCCTTAAAAGTATTAAAAGCAGGCTAGATCACACAGAAGATCGAATCTCAGATGTAAAAAACAGAATCGCTGGACTGAAAAAAATCCACCATGAAGACTGAGGAAAATAGCCCAAAAAAATGAGAATAATACATGAGAAATACTAGATATCATTAAATGTCCAAACATCTGGATAATCAGTATTCCAGATGGTGAAGAGACCACTAAGGACATTGATAATCTAGTCTATGAAATCATGGAAGAAAACTTTCCAAACCTAGAGAGACACTCAAATATCCAGGCCCAAGAAATACAAAGAACCCCACATAGAATCAACCCAAGAAGATCTTCTCTAAGACACATTATAACCAGATTGATCAAAACCACAGATAAAGACAAGATACTAAGATTGGCAAGAGAGAAATGTCAAGTTACCTACAAAGGATATCCCATCAGGCTAACAGCAGATCTCTCATTGGACACAATGCAAGCAAGGAAAGAATGGGAAAATATATTCAAAGTGTTGAGTAAAAAACAACTTAAACCAGGAACCAGCAGT